TTTGCGAACTAGCATTAACACCGATAATAATGTCAGCATGAAAATCGAACGCAGAATCACTCTTGTCAACAAATGCTACTTTGAACAGGAGTAAAGTCCTCTCTCGACGTACGAAAACCACACTCTTATAAGTCACTCATCATGCCCGTGCTCGTATATGGCGCAGAAGCATGGACCATGACAACAATCGATGAGGCGGCTCTTGGAGTATTCGAGAGAAAGATTTTGCGGAAGATTCACGGGCCTCTACGCATTGGCGACGGCGATTACCGCAGACGATGGAACGATGAGCTGTATGAGCTTTACAACGACTTTGACATAGTGCAGCGAATTGAAATACAGCGGCTCCGCTGGCTTGACCNCATGACAACAATCGATGAGGCGGCTCTTGGAGTATTCGAGAGAAAGATTTTGCGGAAGATTCACGGGCCTCTACGCATTGGCGACGGCGATTACCGCAGACGATGGAACGATGAGCTGTATGAGCTTTACAACGACTTTGACATAGTGCAGCGAATTGAAATACAGCGGCTCCGCTGGCTTGACCACATCGTTCGAATGGGTACCGACGCTCCAGCTCTGAAAGTATTCAACACGGATCCCGCTGGTTGTAACAGAGGAAGAGGAAGGCCCCCATTGAGATGGAAAGACCAGGTGGAGAATGACTTGGTTTCACTTGGCATCAGTCAGTGACAGAAGAGAAACGACTGGCGTGCTTTGCTGAACTCGGCCAAAATCGCTTAGGCTGTTACAGAGACAAATAAGAAGATAAGATACCATAGCCAACCGCAGACTCAAAATCCTTCGATTTATAATTTATTTTTATCGAAATAGCTTCTTTCTTTTGTATTATTACTGTGGATACTGACACTTAAACTTTAATCAAAGTTCGAATTCAAATTTAATAATGTCATCACAAAAGAAAGGATTAAGTTAATAAAACCTGCCAAATGGAAGAATTTGTACATAACCGCTGTGACTCATTCTATTGCGTAAGCTCATTAACTTAAACAAACAATAAAATATAAAGTTTGAGGTTTACTTGACCAAACAAATATAAAAGATATACCCACTGCTCTTTTTCAGAAAAATTTTCCAAACCTTCGCTGAAAATAACTTCCACATAGGGTAATCCCAATTTTTTTCGACAGCCAATTGATTCTTTCCACGAAAAGTTTATCGTAATTATAATTATGCATCGATACGTTTGAAAATTTTTAATTTTAAATCTTACAGGTGGTAGTAGTAAGTACTTTTATTTATGGAGAATGTGTATAAGTACCCAGTAGGATAATTTCAGGAGTTTGAAGCCCTTCCGAAAGGCCTTCCTGAGAGTCAAGAGGCCTTCCACTCTACATTCCTTTCTTCTTTCTTTTTTGTATGGAGTGGTACAAAATGAAGGACTTCTTCTTTCGCTACCCATGGAAAGCCTTCCAGAAGGGATTTTATAGCACGTACTTCAGAAGGCCTTTGGAGGAGTTCTTTTAAAGTTGCTTATTTAATTTATAAAAATCATACCTCTTTGAAGTGTTTGCTTAAGGTTTATATCAAACTTGTATTATTGCAACTTTAAATGTTTATTAAAATTCACTTGTAATGCTAAATTATATAAATTTATGCATTCGCATATATTGTAAATGGATAAACCCTTCTGGAAGGCACTTTTTTCAGCCCTTCTTGGGTAGGCCTCTTAGAATGGCTTCACTTAAGAAGGCCTACCTAAATTATCGCCTGGGTAATTATTTTTTTTTTTTTTTATCATTGTATGAATGAAAGAGGTTTGTACAATCACATTATACCAGTTGCATATGATGAAACAAAAATAAAATGAGGGGGAATGCGTTAGAAAAAAAAAACAACTTTGGTTTTTTGGAATAGTCTAATCTACACACAAATCGCACACCTGCGTAGATCTAAAGTGAGCTAAGTCAAAAATCAGATAGGGAAATATAACTGCTTGTGGATAGTACTGATTCAACGCAATTAATACAAAAATTGGTATAACAGTCGTTATTTTGTTAGTGAACATAGTTATGAAGAAAACATTTTTTTCATTCATTGGAGGTAAGTCCTATGAATTGATTTATGAAAAAAAAAAAACATCCTAAATTTATTTTAGTTGATCGCACTTTCGATCTACATAGGTATGCGATCGGTACATATGTATGCAGGTACATATGTATAAGCATCTTAAAAAAAAAAAATATTTTGATCGTTTGATAGCGAGCACTTGTGGAGATCGCTTAAAGCTTAGAGCTACTATACACGTGTGTGTAGTTAAATATATGGGCTGCTTTAGAGAGGACTGATTGTTTTAAGCGTTGCTGTTTGAAGCGTGTAGATATATATTTGTCATTAGACGTCAATATAAAATGCAATTAAGTATAAATATTGTTCGTATGTATGTTTGTATATGTATTTGTTTGATTAACTTTTTCTCGAGCTCAAATACGATTGCGGCTCGACTTCTCGAGATTCGTACTTGAATCAAATGTTCATGTACATATATACATATATAAAATATTACGTACATATGTACATATGTGCAATTTCTTTGGGCATACATACAGTGCTGGAAAAAATAATACAAGCAACTTATTGACAAATATTAAATCAATAATTATATCAACACTAGTTAAATATATTTCTTGGAATGGCGCGCTCTGTACAAATAGCATTTAGCGGTTGTTCTTTCGCAAAACATTTTATTCCGCTGGTTTGTCTCATTTTTTTGCTTTATGTGCGAGATAGTGAACAATTGAATAGTTGCAGTTGGAAAAAATAATAGAAAGAAAACGTGTTTGTTGATGTTGTTGCACTTTAAAAGCTAAATAATTATTTTTTTGACGCTTTTATTTGTGTTTTTAAAGAATGTTAACTAAATCAAAGTTATACTGTAGGTTAGTGAGCCATAAAAAAAAGAATAAAATGGGCCGAGCTAAACACTGTGCGGACCGTGAGAAGAATTTAATAATAAGTTTAAGAAAACAAGGAAATTCGATAAGTAAGATAGCAGATATGGTGCACTGTTCCCAAAAGAAGGTGTTTACTGCTCTTCATTGCGTAAAAAAAACAGAAAGACGAGGCAGAAAACGAAAAATTACTGCTGGCGATCAAAGGCGTTTAATTCGACATTGCAAAGCTAACCCTTTTCTGTCCTCAAGAGAACTGAAAACAGATATGAATTTAGATATAACATGCCGAACCATTAGGTACAGATTGGCAGAAGCCAAACTTCCAGTCAGAACCCCTAGAATGTACAGTTGATGAGCCTTAAAAACCAAAACAACAGACTTGCTTTTGCCAGAAAACATCTTTTCGGTCAATATTGGAGAAATTTGCTGTGGTCTGATGAGACAAAAAGTAATAGGTTTAGATCAGATGGAAAATAATACGTAACACGTACTACGAACACAGCCTTTAATCCAAAATACACAAAAAAAAAATGGTTAAGCACAGCGGGGGTTCCATTATGGTATGGGGCTGCTTCGCGGAGGAAGGCGTTGGTCAAATATTTTCGATAAATAATAAAATGTGCGCAGTTGACTGTGTAAACATATTGCAGACGATAATGCTTCCCTATGTTAAAGAGGAAATGCCATTGCGGTGGGAGTTTATGCAGGATAATGATTCTAAACATGCATCGAAACTGGCATAGCAGTGGTTTAAAAGGGAAAAAGTGCAAGTTATAGAGTGGCCGTCTCAATCGCCAAACCTCAGAGAATCGGGCCTTTTAAAGCCAGCAATAAAGACGAATTGTGGAGCCACATTCAATAATCGAGCTATTCCATTCCGTAAAGTGTTTGTGCAAACTTGGTTTATTCGATGCACCGAAGATGCGAAGAGGCAAGCAGGCAAGGCGGCGGTTCAACAAGATGTTGAAACAATATTATTTTTGTACATAATTGTGATTAAATTTACAAAAGAATATTTGGAAATAATACTTTGTTTCTATTATTTCTTCCAGGCCAAAATTAAAAAAAAAATGGCCCACAATTTATTTATGTCTTATTGCATTTGCAAAATAAGTCTGTCTATATTTTAAGTAACGTAAATAAAATATATGAAATCGTAATGTATTTAAAATAAGAGAATTCTTCAAAACAATAAAAATATATGAAAGCTGTACGTTACTATTATTCTTTCCAACACTGTATATACATACACAACTACATCTCTACACATTTCTCTATACATATGTACGTATATACAAACAGTATGTACATATGTAAATATTTACGTACAGGTATCTTTGGTTGTTATTTTATTTAGATTTTTACGTTTTATTATTATTGTGCTTGTGCGAGCACATACGACGTGCAAACCTTACAACGGCATGCCGGCTACTCGCAGTACATCGCCAGTCAGCAGATAACAAACAAGATACCATTGAGCGGCTGCAACCAAGTCGATACGAAACATTTTGTGGTTTAAAACAGCTTTACGAATTTTTATTCCTTTAAGTTCGTTTGTGTATTTCTGTGTTTTTTTTTGGAGCTTTACGCGAAAAATTGCACTTGAACCAATGCAGTGATTTGAATTTGATTTCAATTGAACGTCCCACAACGGTGAAGCGTGCTGCGTTTTGAGTCTTCGCTACTAAGGCACGCTATAAACCGTTGTTTGCAGGTGAATTAAAAAATAAAAATAAAATAGAAACATATAAAACGTTAGTCAGCACGGCACGCGGCTTAAAGGTCAGCTGGTGGCTTAGTGGCCGAAGTCAGTGTTAGCGCATTCGTAATTTTGTAAAAATTTTTTTTTTTTTATAGCATTTTTAACTATTTTATTAATTAGAACCATTTATCTTATTTATTTTCAGGTAGACGTTGTTGTCCTTTCGATTAAAGTTAATTAAATATATGTAAAACTTCAATATTATTCGTCCACTCTTGTACATCTTGTAACATACCACCAACTACCCACCTTGCACACTTTTTGTGCGCCACATAACCTTCACCAAGTGCATTGAGGCGGCAGGCATTGAACTATATAAAAAAATGCAGCGTAAACTGTTGCTGTACGCGCTAATCTTCTTAACTGTGGCGTCTCAAAAATGCTATGTAGTCGAAAGTGTTGGGCCGCCCAGCGATACAATGGGCGCCATAGCCGCGAACCGCTACAATGCTGAGCACCAGCATCAACAACAACAGCAGCACCATCTGCATGCATCGGCACATCATCAAGGCAGCATCGTCGGTGGTGGTGGTGGTGGCGGTGGTGGTGGTGGCGGCGGTAGTGGTGGTAGTAACAGTGGTGTGCCGGCGCCCGCTGTACCACCTTCCGCCACGCATGCCCCAAACCATCCATCTCCCTCGGGCAGCGGCCACATGGAGCCGCGCAATTCATATAATCTGTTAAGTGAAGCTATGTCACAGGCTGTCAGCAATGAATTCAGTAAGTATGAGTGTAAAGAGCAAGAGGGCTGGAATTGATTGGCATGCAACTTTGTTTGCTAAGAGTGATTGCATCGGCTATTAAGCAAAATGCAAATGCAAAGCTAAGTTGCTAACGCGAAATTTAAATGAATGGGGATACCTTTTGTGGTACTTTGAGATATTTGATTTCCTCTAAAGTTAATTTTAAAACTATATTTTATGAGATACATCGTTAAGCACTGCATTAACAAAAAAAAAAAAACACAAAGTTCTTGAGGTGCGACGCAATATTGAACTCAAAAAACTCGTTGAAGATTAATTACATCCAATTTGCAAAAAGCCAAAAAAAAGAAGATAAATACCTTGCGGTTAACTCGTGGAAATGATAATTATAAATATAGCATTTAAGGTGCGGTTGGTGATATGAATTTAAATAAACACGCTGCAGCATCACCAAGCGAGTCCTTTGCCAAAATGAAATCTTATTCCTTTTTTTTTTTTTAGTAATATCAGCCACATAATTAGACAAATACGGCATTTTTTACTCTTCATGCATATATGCATTAAAAAATCGTTTAAGGCCTTCAAAAGATCAAATATATAGAAAATTGCTGAATTTATTTTACTTTTTGTACTTCGAATTTATTTGAGTAACATTTTGCACCTTTCAATCTGCGATAAGCGAACAATGCGACCTCACCTCTTCTTTCGTGTTTATCATTTATTGCATGCCCAAAAATTCTATATAAATACACCAATCACACATCAAATCATGTGTCGGAGATAGCGTATTCAACAAGTTTGCGCAATATTTAAATATTTGTATTTTGTTATAATTAACGATTATTCAACAAAAAAAAAATCACAATTAGCGATAACCAAGTTTTCTCAACTATTTAGTCGGCGGCACCCACGCTTTTTTGCGCTTATCTGGAACAATTTTAATAAGCCAAATTCTTATTTACGATTTGCTTACGCATTTGTCGACAAATAAAGAAACGAAAAAACATATAGATATGTACAGATGCGATCAACTAATTACCACCGAAACTCAAAATGATATTGTTTCCAACTTATGTTTATTTATTTATTTTTAATAAATTTCATTTGAAATATATTTCAATCTATAACAGAATCCACACAAATAAGAGTTTCTAAGCTTGCACGATTTTCAAAAAGATTAATCAAGTTTCAAAAAATTTTCATCAAAATTTTAAATTTTTGAATTAGAATATTTAGAAAATTTTCGGGTATGCAGTTTTATAGCCCATTTAATTTCATTCCAATAAAGTGCAAGTCGGTAAAAATTACTGTCGATTTTCCTCCACAAAAAAAAATTCTAAAAAATCAACTGCAAGACACTTGAAACTTGCACATTATTATACTAAAATTGAAAGGGCTACAAAACTGTATACCCGAAAATTGTTTAAATGTTCTAATTAAAATTTTTTTAAATGTTGAAAATTTTTTGAAATTGGATTGGACTATTTTTTTGTTTTGTGAAAGCTCTGAAACTTTTATTAATGTGATTTCTGTTGTAGATTGAATTATATTTTAAATGAAAATTATTAAAAGTAAATAAAAAAAAACATTTTGAATTCCGTTGCTAATTAGTTGATCGCATATGTATATATGTACATACATATATATATTAATAAAATAATTATCTGTGTATTCTTTTTTATTATGTATTAATTATAATGCGCAAAAATGTAAAACTCCAATCCTCCAACACCTTTTTTCCCACTTACTGTCAAACGCCACTATCGCTTCAATTACTACATATGTATGAAAATAAATATTTATCTTTGTGCATATAATTAAAATTATATGTTTGTTTTGTCTATATGTGTACATATATATTCTTATGTATGTACATATGTAGTTTGTACAACTTATATACCGCAGCTTGGTCCATATCATTACAATTTTACTAATATTTGCTTTGGTTTTTATTATTCTTTTGATGTTCTTCAAATACAGGTTCATTGGGCAGTGGTTCTGCTGATGGCGCTTGCCATGCAGATGATCTGGATTGCTATAGTGGAAATTTGCAAGATCGTTTGGGTATGGAGGCAATACGTACGCTGCATCGTCAACTCGACGATGACGACAATGGCAATATCGATTTAAGTGAATCGGACGACGTAAGTACACTGCAGTATTTTGAAATTGTTTTTTTTTCACTGGGTTTTTTAATACGCAATAAGTATTGGAAAGTAATAGCTTCAACTTCTGTGTTAATCTGCTCTGTTTTTTACTTTTTTTTAGTTTTTACGCGAAGAACTCAAATATGATTCTGGTTATGAGAAACGTCAGAAAGCGTTCCATTTCAATGATGATATGCATATATCGGTGAAGGAATTATGGGAAGCATGGCTACGTTCGGAGGTAAGTTGAAGATATAATTTTTTCTGGGTTTTAGTATACAAACATACTGTTTTTGGGTATAGGTACATAACTGGACTATGGAACAAACGACAGACTGGTTAGCACAATCAGTACAATTGCCACAATATGTTGAGCTATTCCGCTTGCACAAAGTAACTGGAGCATCATTGCCAAGGTAAGAGAAGCATTTGAAAAAATGTGTATTGAAATTATTAAGAGAAAAATACCAAACATACTAAAATGTATAACAACTTAATCGTGCAAATTTTTTTATGGTTATAATACGATATCGAAAAAAATGGAATTTGAAGCCAAAACTTAGGTTGATTAAATACATATTTGAAATCCTATTAGGAATCCTTAGGAAAAGAAGTCTACATGTACATACATTTGCATGTAGTATGGCTTATCAATAGTGTTAACAATAAATATTGGGCGCTCTCTTTTTGTTTACTATATGACCGAGTCGCTTCACCTTACAAGTGTTTTTTCATGAGTAACTTTTTCGTGGGAGAAGTTTACCTGAAGGGCAAACCGTGTTAGTAAAAGCTTATTCGCTATCATTTTTGATGTTTCCCGGACCAGAAATCGAAGATTATTTAACTTACTTTTATGTACATATGTACACTTCTAATGAATTATAGCAAAAAAATGAACTTTTAGGTATCTCTTTGTTAGAAAAATAATAAATTGTGTAATAGCATACTTTCATACCTAATAATTACGCAGAACTACTAAATCACAATTCAAATGCTATTTGCAAATTTAACGAGTGGCGCGTGACAGCAAAAGTTATAATATTCGCTTATCATAAAAAACATCAGCTCTAAGCACGAGCTTAGTTCAAAATACACAAACTATTATGCACCCTGTATAATATTTTATGTAAAGGAAAAATTGCAAGAAATACCCGACCCCTCCTCCCAAAATTATCGTATGTTACAAAAGCCAAATTTGGCAGGAAAGTATTTTTTGTATTTTCTCTGATTTTTCTGAGTTTAGATTTGCAGAGATAATTGAGAAATATAACTAAACACACAATTTTTGTTTGTACATTCTAATTTCTGAGCACATACGTTAATTTCGCCCACAAGAAAAATGCATTGTATGTATGCAGTGTATTGTATGTTAATACGATAAAATTCACAGTCAATTTTTGGAGTTGCTATAGGGATTTAAACCGTAATATTTGAACAGGTGATACGTTATGGGTTGTTGCATCAAAAAGTGAATTTCGTAAAAAAAAAATGTAACATACGATCCTTTAAAATGTAGACATCATAGGGAATACACGGAAATTTCAAAATTAAAAAAAAATAGGGGTCGAGTTTATGAATTAATACGAATAAGTTTCAATAATATGCCAAATTTATTATATTTCGAGTCAAAGTGATTATTTGCGATTTAAAAACAATTAAAATTTTTAAAACTTTGGTAGTGATCTTTAAAAATATGCTGTACGTAGAACAAAATAAAGGGTTGCCCCATGCGAAATTTCGATGTTGATATTTTTAAGGACCACCCTAATGTACATACATAAAACTTTAATGATTTCAATTATTTTAAATCTATGAACGCATGTAGAGTACTACTTATATTTAATAGGCGTAATTAAGTTGTTGATAGTTGGTGTTTAGATAATCAAATTAAAAGTTATTCGGAAAATTTAGCTAAATCGAGAAAAGAATTAAGTTTTTACCAAAATTTTGTTGAGCGATGTAAAGTAAGTAATTTGTGGATATGTATATATTTATACCTCTAATACTAAATAAATAACTTATTGTTATAAAGCAATTTTGGCAAATAATAACACTGTGTGCGAGTAAGTTAACACGATTTCTTTTAATTTGTTAGCAGTTTAGCTAATATTTTGATTCAACATCATTTATTGTGCTCATTGTGCTACAACTTTTACTGGAAAAACAGTAGAACTGAGCAATTTTTTGTGTTGTTTGACTCTCATGTTTGGGGGCTTAAATTGAAAGTATCTACATTTTTTTACATTACCTAATAGTCACTCACCTGGGAAGTGATGACTGACTGACTGTTGTCGGCCTTCCACCATTGAGCACCGCAAGTTCTAACGCCATTAAAAAGGCATCGATTTGCCATAAAAAAGCTAAGCACCGAGCACTGGGTAATGATTTTTTGTCTAATGATGGCAAAAGTGCCAATTACATAGCGATGAGAATTTTTTGCTCCAGCTTTCGCATTGTGCATGATTTTATGACAATAGGGGAGTAGTATTAGTGGAACGTGCAATTAAACCAACAACTACCGAGCCGTACACTGTAAAGTTATGTATGCATTAACATACCTACAATACTACATACATACAGTTTTAGTCACACATGTATGTATGTAATCCGTGCATGTCAGTAATTTTGTGAGAAGTTAACAAACTTTTAGTCAGCAAGTGGACGGTGTACACTGATTCAAATAAAAACAGTTAGAAAAAAGTAAAAGCTTGAATATTCGTAGATTCTCATTTAGCTTTTTAATTCGCTCATCAAAAAGTAAAAAAGTTTATAAAATATAACTACATAAAAACTTCTCGTGATTCAATGTCTGTATTACGACATGCTGAATTCTGAATTTGATTCTGTTTTATTTACAGGTTGGCAGTGAATAATATGCACTATGTGGGCAATGTGCTGGGCATAAAGGATCCTATTCATAAGCAAAAAATTGCGCTCAAGGCAATGGATGTTGTGCTTTTTGGGCCACCACGCGGTATGATTTTCTTCCATTCATTGTGTGAGTAACATAAGTAATATACTTCTTTTTTTTCTTTAATCTTCCAGAAACGGGCACACGGTGGAAAGATTACATTTTAGTGACTCTATTACTAAGTGCAATTATAGGTTGCTGGTACGCATATCAACAGAATAAAAATGCCAAGAGACATCTGCGACGCATGGCACAAGATATGGAGGGTCTGCAGCGTGCCGAACAAAGTTTACAAGAAATGCAAAAGGTAAGCAAAGGAAAGAGGAAATGTAAAATGAATGTGCTTTGCAAAGCACTAAGCTAGCTTAGTGTACGGTAAAGAGCCTGGCGATAGACAACATTGATTACCTTTAGTTTTTGACTGAGCTTATTCAGTTTGTGGTGCACGTCTGAGTGTTGCCCAAAAAATTAAAGAAAATAAAATAAAAACTGTCCAGTTAGGTATGGTAATTCAAGTAATTTTGAAAAAAATTTAAAAATCAGCCACACCAGCAATATTTAATGTTTTATTCATTTAGGAAATACACAAGTTATAACTTTGAGTACTCAGTATAGATATTTTTTGAGAATCGAGTACTTAGTACTTTCAACATAGATATTTTCAACACTACTAATAATAACTACTTTTGTCTTTGTTTATACTATTAAAAAAAAGAAGAAGAATCTTTTAAAACATTATGCCTTCCCCACAGGAATTGGAACGTGCACGCATGGAGCAGGAGAATGTCGCGACCGAAAAAATGGATTTGGAGCGTCGACTGAAAGAGGCTCCTTCACTTACATCTTCCAGCTCTGATTTGGAGGTGCAAAAGTTGAAGAAAGAAATCGAAATGTTACGTACTGAATTGTCGCGCGCTGAAATCGAATTGGTGGACAACTGCTGGACGCCGCCACCGCAACTCCAATCTTGGCTACAGTATACCTACGAGTTGGAGAGCAAAAATCATCTTAAGAAACGCATTTCAGCCGAGAAACAATTGCAGTCAGCTCGTGAAGCATGCGAAAAGTTACGCAAAAAGCGATCAAGCTTAGTTGGTGCCTTCGTGTCGACGCATGGCAAAAGTATTGATGATGTTGATCGTTCCATAGTTGAGGCACGCAATTCTCTCGGCGAAGTAACGAACGAGTTGCAGGAGCGCTTACATCGTTGGAAACAAATTGAGAATTGTCTTGGTTTTAATATTGTCAATAATAATGGGTTGCAGTATCTGGAAAATGTATTGTACAGTCGTAATGGCGGTAGCAGCGTTGGTTCGAACAAGGGATCGCGAGGTAAATTGCTTGCTTGCAACAAATTATCGTATGCTTGTGCTAACTCAATTGAACTTAATCTCTTGCAGGACGCATAACTAGTAGCAGCGATGACTTAGATGATGAGTCTGTGCAAGGTAAGCCCAATTTTGACCACTTCAATTTGTTCTCGACTGAATANATCAAGCTTAGTTGGTGCCTTCGTGTCGACGCATGGCAAAAGTATTGATGATGTTGATCGCTCCATAGTGGAGGCACGCAATTCTCTCGGCGAAGTAACGAACGAGTTGCAGGAGCGCTTACATCGTTGGAAACAAATTGAAAATTGTCTTGGTTTTAATATTGTCAATAATAATGGGTTGCAGTATCTCGAAAATGTATTGTACAGTCGTAATGGCGGTAGCAGCGTTGGTTCGAACAAGGGATCGCGAGGTAAATAAATAAAAGAGAAATGAAAAATAAGATTGCAATAAATTATCGTATGCTTGTGCTAACTCAATTGAACTTAATCTCTTGCAGGACGCATAACTAGTAGCAGCGATGACTTAGATGATGAGTCTGTGCAAGGTAAGCCCAATTTTGACCACTTCAATTTGTTCTCGACTGAATAAGGCAGCTGAACAGGCGTGGCACTTTCTCACACTTATTGTTAGTCAAAAGCAATAAATGCAGTATCTACATAAATATTTTCAAAGTTCGATATAAGTAAAGAGTAGACGTACTTAGCAATTCGTCACACAGTCATGCCATCAAATGTAAATATGTGTCGTTTTAAAGCGCTATCTCTATAAAGGCAAACAACAATATAGATACATAAGTAGCAGTAAAAGAATACCACAATATTTGAGCGCCATTAGATTTGCGACATTAACTTAATACCGAAACACGGCAGGTAGCATGTTTACGCGTAAGCTAAGGAAAATTTGAGCAAAAAGAAAAAAATGATTTCATCTTCAGTTATTGCTTTTTGGCTGACTTCTTCCATAAGCATTATGCCTTATTTAGATTATACGAAAAACCATGGTTCGGTGCTAGATAAAAGAAAATGTTTTGGTGCTAGAGTGCCAATTAAAAGAAAATTCGCTTTAGAAGCCCTAGTAGTTGTAGCTTAGTATACCAGTAGAAAAGTTGAGCATATAAGCGTATGACAGAATGTCGTTTAAGATAAAAAGAACTAAAATAAAATCAGATATAAGTTAGCTATAAAAAATAGTTATATACACATTTTAATAAGAACTATTTTCATAAAAAAAAAGTTATATTTGATTAATATAAAAAGCTTTTAGGGTAACTTAAAGAGCATTTATAAAATGTTTACTNCTACATAAATATTTTCAAAGTTCGATATAAGAAAAGAGTAGACGTACTTAGCAATTCGTCACACAGTCATGTCATCAAATATGTAAATATGTGTCGTTTTAAAGCGCTATCTCTCTAAAGGCAAACAACAATATAGATACATTAGTAACAGTAAAAGAATACCACAATATTTGAGCGCCATTAGATTTGCGACATTAACTTAATACCGAAACACGGCTGGTAGTATGTTAACGCGTAAGCTAAGGAAAATTTGAGCAAAAAGAAAAAAATGATTTCATCTTCAGTTATTGCTTTTTGGCTGACTTCTTCCATAAGCATTATGCCTTATTTAGATTATACGAAAAACCATGGTTCGGTGCTAGATAAAAGAAAATGTTTTGGTGCTAGAGTGCCAATTAAAAGAAAATTCGCTTTAGAAGCCCTAGTAGTTGTAGCTTAGTATACCAGTAGAAAAGTTGAGCATATAAGCGTATGACAGAATGTCGTTTAAGATAAAAAGAACTAAAATAAAATCAGATATAAGTTAGCTATAAAAAATAGTTATATACACATTTTAATAAGAACTATTTTCATAAAAAAAATTATATTTGATTTATATAAAAAGCTTTTAGGGTAACTTAAAGAGCATTTATAAAATGTTTACTAGCGATGTGAGACAAAAGTGTATAAAAGTCAACAGATTTCGATATTTTATTAAATATGTACTGAGTACATACTTAAATATTTATATTTTGGGCAGTGAGTACTGAAAACTTTAATATTGATTAATTTTTAACTGTCAAAATAAATAGTGAACTTCTATAATCAATTCAGGGGTATACTGTATCTCATTTCCTGCGACAGTATTGTTCCTTTACTAATTTTTTCGTTGTTATTTGTGTAATTTTTTCAAATAACTTATTGAGAAAGTAAATTAATGGTTGAATGGGAATGTGTAAATTTTAAATATTAAATTGCAAATCTTCATATCCAAAGTTAATAACAATTCAATTTAATGAGATCTATAGGTTTATTCCCTAAATACACAATATTTTGGCATTTATAAAGCGGAAACCACAAAGCAAAATCAAAAGTATGTTATTCAATGGAAATCTGATATAGTTATTAATGCACTAGTACATACCCAGAGTTATATTTACAAATCGAAGGTGTTTTGTATAAAATTCGTAGAACATTTCCTTGACAAAAATACTTACATTAGAAAAAATCTCCACAATATACAAACATTTGCCAAACGTACAATATCAACAACAATATTAAAAAAACTATAGCACCGAATGCGAATTGAAGTTTTGTGCGCCCGAAGTTTTGTTGTTAAGAGCCGGCCAGCTCTATTGTTCTACGAAGTAGGCATCGCTTGCCTACCGGATCATGGCCAATATATGCCTGTACCGAATTTGAGCTAAATCGCACTATGAAGACGATTTTTCCAAATATAACGACTCCAGCGCCACCTAGTGGATCAAAAGAAAACTTGCAAACCTTCCTAGATCCGCTCACTACGATGCAATTGGCAAGAAATGGTTTAGGAGTGCATAAAGAAAGCCTATTTGTATATACATACATACATACCTATGCACATAGATACACTTTTGTAGTTTCGAAAAAAATCGAATTCGTAAAAAAAGTGCAATGAGTGCACATAAATATGAAAATACCACAGCGTGAGATACTTGGGTGTACATATTGGAAATCATAAGAGTTTCACTTAAATTTATATTTAGCTGGCGTAATTCATCAACTGATCAAAGGAGATCATGTTGATAATTACCAACCAAAAAAAAAAACACATTTTAACGTTCTTAAACAGGTGTTAATGAGTAAATTTATTATAAGCAAAAACCGTGGACAGAGTATGTACATGCATACGTAATCTCATTGAAAAAAGTATGTGTGCAATTTTTTCTTGACTACTCGTTTAAGAAAAAAACTCACGTACTACTTGTTTACACACTTCTGTCTCACACATCCTAAACACTAATAGTGTAGGTATTTATAAGTAACATTTCTCAATTTATAACAATCAACAATTATGTGCAGTTATTTTAAGAACAATCGACAACAAAAAAAAAAACAACCGAAAAAAAAACATTTCATTCATTTTTAGAGTATGCCTCATTAAAATTTTACATGCCAAACCAGTGCCACGCCAAATGAATCGAATTGAATTGAAATGAATGTAAACAAAACCAAACAATATCCATACAGCAATGAAAGAAATCAGAATCAGTTAAAGCTTTTGAGATGTGTTTAACACTTGCCAATTGATTATATTGATTATTATTGTTGTTGTTGTTGATGCTAGCAATTAGCTAAAGCAAGAATGAACAAAACCAGCATAAACAAATAATGAGCTATGAAATTTTGATTGCTCCCAACAACGACGACGACGCAGTTAAAAAGTCAGTTAAACGATGGACTGCAAATATTCATAAGAAAACACCTACAAACATGTATAATAAGACTACTCGATAGAAATGGAATTAAAAAAACAAAAACAAAAAAAATAAGGGTTAACAAATTGGCGTATATACTTAATGAGCTCAATTGCTGTAACCGCATTTAGACAACACACTAAACTTGAACATCTGAAGCGAGAAAATGTTATAATTTTATACAAATTTTTATATTCACCTGTGTACATTTGTAACTTGTGACACAATACACGCAATATTTGTGTTGAAGAAAAAAAGCGTTAAAAACAATAATACATTATTTATATACTTATACATATGTATGTACGTTAAACAGATATACATATATTCATTATGTTAAAATCTGCATAATTTTACATTGTTTTACCCCAAAATTAGCGCAAGCGTTTTATTAATATTCTCCTGTTACCTTTTTTAAAAATATTTTTACGCATTCTTTTACATTTACATGATGTGTATTTATAAGCTTAATACATATTAAAAGTGTGTTTTACATACATACATACATACCTTATTGTTACTATTTATATATAACATACTTCTTTTTAGTTCAATTCATATTTAATTTTTAGTTTTTAGTTTTTAGTTTTTTTTTTTTTGATAATATTTAATGTTAACAACGAATGTGCTTAATCCCTTCCGGTGTTGTAAGTTCCATCATTGTTAATTTTGGTTTATTTGCCTGCTTATTTGACTTCACAAAGTGTTACTACACCTATTTGAAATCTATCCCTTTGTTTTTAGTTAATCCTTCTTAATACGATTTGGTTATTATGTAATTTGTTTATCTGTCATATGGCAACTTCTCAGTGTATTCATTGAAAATTGGTGAAAAAAGTGCGATCATTGCAATGCAAATGACATAAGACGGCGGCAGCATTTACTATTTGTTAAACCACAAATCGTTTAGCGTAGACAGTTATGTGTGGCAAAGGGAAAGCGAGCAGAGCGAATACACAATTGCTGTTAAAAATAAGCTGCATATGACGAACAAGTCATGAGTGATTTGTTTGTTTGTTTTTTTTCTTTTGGGCGGGTTTTGAAATATTTACATTTAACTACCTCCGCTTTGCTACTGCCTTAATACCACCCACAACTGTCTATACCTACCATACACGCGCATTTTAAATACTTTTTTTTTTTTATATACCTACAATACATTCGTGAAATGGCCTGAGTCATGACCAACACATTTCCTCAGTGGCATACAGTAAACAAAATTTTTTGGACATTTTTCGGAGCAAAGATTATATACACCATTTTTCCATTCTCATATTTAAATTTTACAGTGTTTAGTTATTGGTCGGTTTGTGGAAATCGCTTTAGTCTACATACGGAAATTACTGAATCATTCCAACTATCGGACGAATAAGTGTCCGTGGACACTTACTTCCCCCATAACTGAAGCGACAAAACCACCGGAATGGATTAACATCAACACAGTTGTAATGAAAAAAAAAGTGTTTTAAAATTTTTCTTGAATATTTTAATATATCATAGACATACAAACATAATGCCACGTTGAATGTGTCTCCGAATGCAGTAAATGCAAAAATGTATTCTCAGGAAAAAAAAAATCATAAACAATACGAGTTTTTGCTTTAGAGATTTTACATCAAATGCTTAAGTAACTGTTTTTATTGATATCAGTAAAAAGAGTTAATTGTTATAATAAATTTTTTCCTTTAAAATTGCAATAAATTTTTTAAATAACACAATTTTGTTTCATTTCATTATTTCACGCGTCATTCCATTCCATTTTTCCTGCAAATTATGTTTAATTTTCAGATACAATTTTGCTCCGTTTTCTTTACCATGGAGAAAGTGTCCACATATAACAGTTTTCTAAACTGTATATAAGAACAATGATGAAATACAAAGCAAATTAGGTTAAACTAAAATAAAATGGAATAAAACAAAAAATTTCTAAATATAATTAAAAATTTAAAAACAAATAAAATATATAAAAAACTAGATATATGTAATGAATTTAATAGAATTAAATAAAATAACGAAAAATAAATAATTAATAAAGAATTAAATCGAACTAAATTAAGAAAAAAAAATTAATTAAAACGGCCTAAACTAAATAATAAAAGATACAATATTAATGTCTTAAAAAGAAATAAATAAAATGAAGTGAATGTGAATTTATATTCAATGACGTTTTTTTATGATACATAATAATAATTTTGTAGAAAACAAAATAAAGCAAAAAATTAAAAAACCTAGGCAATATAAAAAGTAACAAAAAATAAATATTAGATATCATAAAAAACTAACACAATTAAATGTAGTTCTTAGATATTCAACGATCTTTAAGCATGCATATGTACGTATACATATATGTATGTGCCATTTCACGTAAATTTCAATTCGAATTCCCTTAAGCCAAATTCAGGTAAGCAAAACTCCGAAAAACGGCATATGCTCAAATTTAAATTTTATTTATTTTAGAATATGAAGAGCATATTTGTTTAGAAATATCGATTTATGTCCTTGACTGTATTGCCCGCATGAGTGTGTTGTTGGCATGCATATCTAACTCAGCGCAATTTCATTAGTTTTGTATGTGTATGGTCGACATGTAACTAACCTGACTAATAAATTAGAAATACAATTAAAATATCATAATATTTTACTAAAAATGCTGCCCAGCCATCAAATAATCAAAAAAGCTCATTTAAGTATATGACAAGCGTACCTAAGCAGCTTGAAAAGTCAAGCTATATACATACATTCATACATACGCATATTACATAGAAAATACTACACATATGTATATACAAACACCCATGAATACTTGCGAAACGTTTCATTTTATTTATTACATATTTTAGATAATCGAAGTTAAAATCATTTGAAGTTTAAGTACATAATTGAACTCAATCGTCGTATATTTGTTTGTCTACATCTGCATACATACAAATACAAGCAGGAAATAAACCGGTATTCCTTACACGCCTGTGTGAGCTGCTTTTTGAAATGCCCATCTCATTTCCATTCATATTCTCATTTCTTCTATCTTAATGCCTTTTTTTGGTCTCGCATCATTTTTTGCTTAAAATAAAGTCCAAAAACCTAATTACCTTAAATCAATTTCCAAGCGCTTATACAGTATATAAATAGATTGTGATGATCGTAAGTTCCAGAACTTTTGTACATTTATCCAGGCATGTTGGACAACTATAGCCGCAGTTCGGTTGGTTTAAGCGGTGGCAATAGTGGCATCTTAAATAACAGTTCGAATGCAATTTGTGATGATTCGTCGGGTAGTGAGGATGCTAGTGAGGGACCACCAACGCATGCCCCAGTGCAATTTATGTTAGGTGGCGCACCCACACCCTCATTGAAGAACGCTAACACGTCCATATCTTCGGCAGCAAGTGTCGCGTCACGTGCTGGTGCTGCCGCTAGCCATTCATCAACAATGGATGCGACTACGCTTAATCATATTGGAAGTATTGGTAACTCAACGAATGCTATTGGAACGTCTGTACCGCCGACATCTGTGTCGAATGTCAATACGCCAATTGCAACTCCGCCGCCGTTACCACCGCACAATAATATACACAATTCGAGTTACTATTTGAATGATAGGTAAATTTCTTCACAGCATATTGGCTTAATATAAATATTTATAAGACTAACATAAAATAGATCAGTGCTTTAAGCAAATATATGGATCAAGATTTCTACGAAGCCGAAAAGAAATATAAATTGAACCCTGATTTTATAAGCAAGGGTGTAAGAATTGATAGATTAACGGTAAAAGTAAAAAAACGACTATTTGGCAACGACACCAACGTTTTGAGTGGAATATAAAATGGAACAAAACAGCCGCATCTGCAACCTTGTACGCATGAGCACGGGATTTTTAGATTTTTTAAACATATTCATACGCTAATAGGTTGCTAATGGTTCAATTAATTTTTGTAATTTTTTTATTGGCTCGCGAGTTTAAAATTTTCAAATGCATTTTTTTATGTAGGTATAATGTATATATTTTTTAAAAACTCTGAATGATCGCTATAATTTTTTTAGATTGATTTTAGCTTTATTTTTTTAATTAATAACGAAAGATTTTTGCTTGGCTGTGATTGAAACAATCAATTTAATTCTTTTTTTGTACTACTAGTAGGAAAAACAGAGTCGAAAATCGAAAATTTGTCAACCGGCGATTTTTTGCATGGTGGTCAATTTAATTTAACTACTGTGAAGCTAGTCGAAGAGAAGATAAAACTTCATTTGAGGTTATGAAATGGTTGTCATCTTGGAACCAAGCGTTCTTTCAAACCCAGTGCAATAGTCATTTGAGGGTCTCAGCCAAACTATACCCAAACGTGAATGTGTTTACGTGGTAGTCGAACTCCAAAAGGATTTTGAGCAATTTCATAAACCGGAAGTTTAGATTTGAGAAAAAAAGCCCTAACATAAAGCCTAACCGCCAAAATAAGTAAGTAACATATTTTCAAAATTTTAATTTTAATGCAGAAATGCATCTATGTATGTATGTAATGCTCTAGGAACACTTCTGCGATGGTTGGGCGGTGATACCTATTTGTTGAATTTTTTCGATGAGACGGTGCATTATCGTTAAGACAAATCCACTAATTGAACGAATTCATGATGCGCGATCAAAATATGAAAGCAATCAGCACTATGCTAACTTTCAGACAGTTTTGGCGCTTTCGGTTTTGGTTCAGATTTTGTTCTCCATTCCGCTTCTACTGCCTGGATTGCATGGAAAACTCGCAAATCCAAGTTATATACAAAGCGATTTGCTAAATATACTATTTTCAGCAAAATTAGATAGGTAGAAAGATATCGCAGTACAATGGGAGCGGTAGTAAATCTGTTTTTCAAAAATTATTCGGTTGAAATTTCTGGAAATGTGAAAAAATTCTTTGCAGTTAGAATTATTTTGGGTAAAAATTCTGTACTTCGAAATTCTCTAAAAACCAAATGATGTAGAATTAAAATTCTGGAAAGTAAAATTCTGGATCCAAAATTGTTTTGGGGCAAACTTCTGTATTTTTTATGTACGTATGTCCTAGAATTTCGCTATTAATTGGGCTGTTCAGGATCTTGTGCATATGTTCTTACATATGAATATTCTGTGATTTGTAAATTTACATCAGTAAAATGCAAACGGTTGCCATGGTAGCAACCAAAAAATTTGCAAATGCAAATCCAAGACTATTTGCACAAGATCCTGAACAGCCCTAATATTTCACCAACTTCCAGATGAGCTGGAGACCTGAAACTTCAAACTTAGCTTGTAACCCAATGACAGGGCAGTGGACTGAAATATCCGCTAGGTGGCGCAGGAGGGAGGCAATTATGATCAGATTTGGTTCACACTTAGAAAGCGTGTTTAAAAATACATTTTTACTATTACCTTACTTAATACTGAAATTAAAGTAATTTTATTATGTTCCTAAATAAAATAAAAAAAATAATGGACAAAAGAAGTTAATATACATACAATTACATTTTTAGCAATTCCTTTAAGAAACCAAATATGACTTGAGTGTAGTCTTTTTTCATTTTTTCTTCTAAGTTCTCTGTATGCTTTTACAGCTTTTATCTTTTGGGATATTTTTTGGCCATTTTGAATTTGTCTCTAAATATATATGTATGTATATATTTTTTCAAACCACAAGGTACAATTTCTTCCATATGAATTTTCAAAGTGTTATTAAAACGATTGCAGTACTCTCAGATTTCATCGAGCCATATTTTTGAACGAATTTGTACACTGTTTCTGAAACTATTATTCGTTATAATTTAACGCATTACGTTAATATAAACTATACATATACAATATGTATATTTATTTGCTTTACGGAATTCTGTATTGGAAAAATCGGAAAACCTATCCATTGGGTTTTCCGATTTTTCCATACAGAATATTAAAATACAGAGTTAATACAGAATATTTCCAATATAGGAAAAAGGAATTTTAGACTATGCCATTTTTAACATTTCTTTTCCAATATGTAGTTAAAATTATCTCTTGAATTCTTGCCCAACAAACGTGGTTACGTCAACCGGTCTAAACATTGTAATGAAGTTAAAGAGGCAACGCCGCACCCACAACAAATTGGACAAGAAATTCGCCGGCATAAGGGAGGGTTTACAAAGTTAAATGGCATTAATAAATACAACTAAAACCTGAAACTTATGGAGTTTTATTTTCTACAAAAAATAATATTGTCTTTTCCTTACACTCTTAGTATTTGTGCGAAGAGGACATGGAAAGGTAAAATTGTTCGAAAAAATTTACCGAGATGGGAAAAATTCCCTTGGGGGTTTGACTACTACTAATAGATATTACCGTTTGGGCAGAGTTTGGTATTCCTTTTTGATTGGCGTTGCAGTCATTTCTATTTTGAGCAGACTTGACGCCAATCGGAAAAACAAAGTGAAACCGTTGCCTGTTGTTTTGCTGTCAGGAGGTACTTTCTCGTTATCCTTTAGACCCAGAAGGGGTGGTTACGTTAATTTGGCCGGTGTTGAGCCGCACATAGACCGGTAGGTCCTAGGTAGGGCGTTAAAGTATACATCACAAAGGATGTCAACGCTTTTTCTGAAGAAATTCCAGCTCTACTTTGGAGATGTCCTCTAACTTCTCGAATTGGTAGGTTCCTAGGTTAACTCATTCCATCTAGCCCTGGATTGCCTTATCATATCGCACACCTAGATATAAAGTGAGCTAACTCAAATTTCAGCACCCAACAATCTGCAGCCAACCTGTCAATGGCTTCCCGGCTGCAAAGGATGTTTTTGGTTGAAATACAACATGAGTTAACTGCCGTAATTGCCGCCTGACTATCTACGTATAGGTCTAGAGTACCCATTAGCTTTGTTTTCATATTCAACTTGTTAAAGGCAGAACGAACCACGTGGCTGTTGAGGTCAGGATTTGTACGCTTTTATAAAAGATTTTACCTGAGCGATTCAGTTCCACAACCCTTATTTATTATCTTTTTAAAATGGTGACGATGCCACAATACCTTAGCTCGCCAAAATCAAGTTCAAAGTATTGAGAACATGCAAAAAATCTCGTTTTTCCTAATTTGATTGCTTTAGAAAAATTTTTGCGTATGTATTTAGTTGCTCTAATATTATTAATTTTTATTTGGCTTTTGATTTTGTGTCCATACTCTTGCGTAGAAAAAGTGTATTATGCAATTTGATCCATATTATTATTTTTTTCGACCGATTTATTTTTGATTTTCAGCACTTAATATATTTTTATGTGTACTTTTATCGCAATAACACTCGCTCCATTTGTCATATTTATGTATGTATTTATGTGTATGAATTTTAGTCATCATTGCTTTATTATTTAGAAATTAAAAAAGAAAAACTGGACAATTGTCAAGAATGTTTCCAACAAAGTTTTAATCGAAGTTAAAAAACTCACTTCTATGTTTGTATAATAATTTCTTCCATAACTTAAATTATTATTAATATGTATGTATTTGTTTCATTATTACCGCATTCTACCATTCTATTCTACTTATATTATATGTATGTATCTTCGTCTTAGCTTGGCTGGTGGTGATGACAGTCGTTATAGTCCATCTTCATCTGAACGCTCCATACCGGTGCCGCCACGTTTGAAGAAGCACAATTCGTCTAATTTAGTTGTGTCACCAACGCCGACACCAGCAATAACAACAATAATACCATCTTCTGCACCTAATCCACCACCACCGCCGCCACCGCCATTGCCACCACATCTCGCTGTGGTCGGTACTCTGAATCGTGCACCACTTCCTCCACCTCGCAAATCTACTCCGAGGTTTGTTTACTTTATTGACCCATAAGCCATAAACAGAGAGCCGCCGTACAGTCCCTTTTAAGTCCTTGTGAATTATTCACCTTTCTCGCACCACTTTCAAAGAGATCCAATGTGTGCACAAGAACTTTATTATATATTTATTCTTGCGGTTTGCTTTAGAAATCTAACTAAAAATACTTTGTGTGCTCTGCTGCTTTGGTCACACAGCAAGCTAACTTACATAAGTCGACTGGCAATGTGCAGCGCCTCCTTCCTAAGGATTAAATTAAAAGTGCACTAATCAAAAATTCGGCTTCCATTCTCCTCAATGCTTTCAAAGCGTTCTCAATGTTACAGTTGCTGTTGCTCCCCTACTCCTGCTTTGCGCAATGTACATACTATAAAACAAAAAAAAACAAAAAAAATAACCTCAAATCTAAATACTCACTCTTTCTTTTTAACCAAAATTCTTTTCTGATTTTACAATTTCAGAATGCAAAAAACAAAATCTTCTACATGAACTTCGGTGTTCTTGTAGTTCGAATTCTTCACTGAAAAAATAAGATCGAAGATATTAAATTATGTCCTCAATTCCATTATCAAAATGTTAATAACAATTTTGTAAATTGTATCTATGCTATCAATAATGTAAACAATCTAAAATTTATGTTTCTTCGTGCATACATACATACATACATACATTCATATACAATCATATTGCAAGACATACATGTAAACATAAATCGGCTTTTTTCGACATGCATACATCTGTAATTTAAGAATAGGAATTTAAAAATGGAAAAATTAGTAAATAAATTGTTTATCAGTATCCAAAGCTTGGGTTGGCCAAAATGTAGAAAATGTTAATTGTGGAAAAACCGCAGTTTTTAACTAAGAAATAGAGAATATTTTTTTATAGATAGTTTAATAAGTTCATGAGAAATGCATAGCTGGATAAAGCAAATATAGCACATACATACATACACATAATTTATTATGAGATATTTTATGAATTTTTTTATAAATAAAAAAAAAAGACAGACATTTTTGCCGCTATTAAGAGTTACCGAAAAAATCAGGTCAAAACAACAGAAAATTTGCCCTGATATATGCCTATAAAAAAGGAGAATACCTAGATTATAAGCATGAAATAAGCTATAGAGCAAAAATTAGTACTTAATTGTACTTGATGTACTTTTCAAGTCTATAAGCATAGCAGTAATGGGGCAAGTCCAAAAGGAGGTAAACAGTTTTTCTTTATTTGCCGCTCGATTCCCTACGAAATAGTGTATTTCATATAAGAAGAAATAGCAGGATAGCGTGTTAAATAAAATATTCGAATATCCGGATATACCAAAAAATCGTATAGAACTCCCAGACCTGCTACATACATTTGTGGTCAGCTGATTGAGTCAAGTGACATTCTGACTAGTTTTGGCTATTTTTCTTTTGTTTATTTAATGTTTAGTTTTTTTAATAAAATTTTAGCACTTAACCTATCCAGCGCTACTAATGTAAATCCACAACTCAAACTTACAAAAACTATGAAAATTCAACAAACTGTAACAATTGCAGGCAAAAGTTGTAAACTTTTTATTTAGAATTTTTAGAAATATTTTGTTTATGCGGGTTTGTAGCTCATTAAATTTTAGTAGTAAATTTGCAAATTTCAAGACGCTAGAAAATCGCGTTAATTTTTTAATAATTTTTTTGCTGATGGTGCTAGGCATTTACTCCCATACAAACGAAATTCTCGAGCATACTTTATATGGCAGAAAATCAACAAAAAATGCTAAAATTTAATGAGCTATAAAACTGCACACCCAAAATTTTTCTAAAAATTCTGAATAAAAAGTTTTAGTAAGAAGTATTTATGTAGCGCTGGTTAGGTTAAGTGCTAAAATTGTATTAAAAAAATTAAATTTTAAATAAACAAAAGAAAAATAGTTAAAACTAGTCAAAATGTCACTTGACTTAATCAGCTGGTCACAAGGGTATGTGCGTGGCAAATATTTCATTTACATATATATATATATATTTAATTGTTTGCAGTTGAATTCGATAGCGGAAAAATTACTTTTGGTATTTTTATAAATTAACGCACATTTGATAGTGTAAGGAAGCTTCATATCATTTTTGGCATATAAATTTTATTTTTTAATAAAGGCATAATATTATTAAATATTATTTGTAGTTTTCCTATTGAACTTTCTCTTTGCCAACCCAAGCCCAAGTAGTCGACAACTCTTGCTATTTAGATCGTAATATATTAAAAATTATAACAACGTATAGCTTTTAGTTGTGTTCATCAAACCGAGTGTTTCGAAACCAAAACGCTATCAATATTAACGCATTCATTACTCTAATCAAAAGTACGCTACTTACAAATATCCATTTGTAGGCGAGGTGGCAGGCAAAATATATGTATGTGTTTTTTTTTGTATTTGTGTGTCTATGCCATTGCGTGTCACTAAACAACCAACTAACTAACCAACTCACTCACTGCCCACACACTCAAACATTTGGCCATCAAAAAAAAAATTCATCCGATTTGTATTTCTCCTTCTCCCACATCACAGCCAACTTTTGCGATCCCAAAGCACGGACCTGGTACCAATGGAAATCTACACGTACCTTAACAGACAACAGCAACAACTTAGCGCGAAATCTAGCAACAACGGCGGCAGCAACAACGGTCTATCCATCACCGGACAGCATCTCGTCGGCGGCGGCGGAAGTGGAATTGGCGGAACCAACAAGAAGATGGTCAAACAGCACAGCACGGCTAGCCAACAGTCCACATCATCTACATCATCGTCCGTCCATTCAACCCCATCCGCACCAGCGGCTCTCGGCGCAGACGGGCATAGTGGCAACAGCGTCGGTGTTGTCGGCGGCAGCAGCGGCAAAGGGCAATCTCCCGGACGTTGGTCATCACATGAGCGCTTCTTACCAATCCATCAACAGCACCAGCAGCAACACGAACATCAACAGCTTATATGGCAGCCACTGCAGTCTGTGCAGCAACAACAGCAACTCCAGCACAACCAGTCAATCAATCATGGACAACAACAACAGCAACAGTCAGCGCAGCAACAGCAGCATCATCAGCATGCAAGAGATGCGGAGTCGTTCATGCAGCCCCAGCACGGTGCAACTACTGGAAAACCACCAGCAATTGGCACAATATCCTCGCAATACCAACAACAGCTGCCAGGCGCGCTTAGCTTGCAATCGCTGTTGGGGCAGACACAGCAGCATGGGAATGCCACCGCCACCGCCACCAACGCCGCCACCACCACATCTACGGCAACTATTGCGTCGACACACAGTGATACCCAAATGGAGGACCAGCTGTTGCTCAACGCCGACAGCGCAAGTCTCGATGGAGGCGGCACAATCAAAAAGCGAAAGCGCCGATTGCGCTTCCCCTTCGGTGGCGGGCATCGTAAGACCGCCAGCAATGCAAGCGCCAGTAGCGGCAATGCCAGCGCCACTTCCAACAAACATACATAGCTCTCATAGCGTTGGCTGTTTGACAACGTCCTCCAACGATTCAGGAGTAGGAGATGCGCAAGAAACGATGAGATTGAGTCGACGACAACAAAGCAACGATGACGACAATATACACGCTAATGTGGACAATGATGATAAGCATAAAAATGATAACAAGACGAATTGCTGCAAATACGACAGCGCAGATGCAGAATCGGTTGAATCAGAGGCCCAAGCATACTCATTGGTTACTTTGAATTTTGTCAAACGCGCCGCAAATGCTGCTACGACTGCGCGCCTATTGAACGAGCATGACAATAATTTTAGTGATTCACAACGCGACTTAAGGAGCACTTCGACGACAAGTGACTCCATTACGATGGCCACCTAATGGGTTGGTCTACGAAATAATATTGTAGTTTTTTATATGCCTACTTCAGTCTTCCATTTGAAATAGACCAACGACGAAGCGAAGAATGTGCGTGCGAATAGTTAATTTAGTAAAATATTCATTAACGTAAAGAATCAAGTGCGATCATTTCATGCATTCAGATCTCCGCAGGCATGGGCCTTCTTTACCCCAGAACCACGCTCCAATGCTACATATGTCATATCAATATCATACTTCCTCGCATTGCAATTTGCAAGAGCTCCCCATTCACTGTGAGCAAAATAATTATGCGAAGGCGCTTGTGCAAACAGGTATGTGCAAATAGTAACAATTATTTGTTAGAAAATTATCGAACAAAAATTATTAGGCTTTCACACATTTTCGGCCTCGTTCTTAAAGAATTTTATAGGTTAAAAAAAATTTGGAAGTTTTAACACTCCAACTTTCCTTGCATAATTTTTTGAGGGCTGGGAGTTCTATGCGGATATTTCAATATTCGAATATCTGATTAAAAAATTCGAATATCTGAATAGGGAAGCTAACGGAAATTAACCGGATATTCGAATTTTATTCGCATACATACATGAATATCTGAATACAGGAATAGTCCCAGTCCTATTCTAAATAGTGGCCAACATAATTTTCTACATTAACTGTGAAATTAACCCAGAAAAAAAATATAAAAATAATTCATAGTTAGTTAAGAAAAATTTGAGTTTTAAAAGTCTTTCGATCAAAAAATAATCCAGGGTTAGGTTGAGTGCTGAAACCCAATGCACATCTGTGCACATTTGAAAGAACAACAATAACTTAAGTCGAGTTCGGCTATAAAGCGCTAAAACATTGATTTCTTTTCGAACATATACATATGTAGCTTCTGATTTTTATAAAATAAAAATCTAAAATCACTTAAGTGGTTTTTTCTTACCTCTGAGAACGTAGCTCAGTAAAGCGAGTGCTCTCATCAGCGTTCGCCAAGCGTCACTAGCAAATATGTATGTAAATCTACGTTTTTACGAATTAACCCTTGTTTGTGCAAGCAAGGTATATAATACAATTAGTTTATTAGTGAACGTAGCAATTTTTGATAGCTGTGGTTTCAACGTGCGATTGTTCGACTTTTTAAGTATTTTTAAATTTAATGTTTAATCCGCAAAGGGCTAATTGAAGTTTGCCCTAAAGATTTGCGCAAATAGATTTAAACTAAAACAGCTGCATACATGACACATCACTTCATTATGTACTGGACATTAAATTGAATGATATTAAATGTAAACTTATTAATTCGTATCGAAGCAAATATGTACTCATATGTAAATCGTTCCATAAGTGCCTCAGAGGAAAGATGATATTACGTACATATGTATGTATGTACATCGTTACATACATACATACATACAATGACTCAAACAAGTGGCCACGTGTTGATTTTATTACACAATGTTTTTCAAGTTAATTTTTTTTTTTGTTATTTTTCTATAAAACTGCATACCAAAAAATTTTCAGATTAAAAAGCTCGAAATTTTGATGAAAATTTGTTCAATTTTGCTAAATTTTGTATGAAGTTTGGACAATGCTTTTATAAAAAAATAACAAAAATAAATTTTTTACTTGAAAAATGTTATGTATATTAAAAAAAATCAACACATGAACACTTATTAACTTAGTGATTAATAGTTTAAGTTGTGAAAAATTATTTGTTTGCATAATTCGTAAAAGTTTATTGTTTAGTGGCATCTGACTTAATCATATTTGATACCGTGAAGCGGGCAATACAACACTATACACAGACTCAGAACCCTAACGAAGAAGTGCTAATTTTATGTTTCACTCGTATATGGCTTCCCTTTTTCGATTCGGCTAGCTAGCTAAAACCTCGTACTGAATCAGACGCAAAGTGTTCTAGAAAACTGGCTAAAATGTGTACAGTGAAGTAAACTTGTTGTGTACAGACCTTCTCGTATGCCTTTGAATGACAGAGCTATAAAAGATCTGTCTGGAAAATCCCTGCCTGAAAGCGTTTAATTATAAGCGTTCCTCACATTGCCAACTGGGTGGTTAAATAAATAAATTTTTTTATGAAGATAAATCCAATATTGTCTATATATCCATACATTAGGGGGGATCGCTCTCCATACAAAAACCATCGGTACTACTTTTCCAACGAAAATATTAAACTTATTATATTTGAAGACTTCCGTAAAAATATTTTGGAAAATTATTAAGATTTACGTGAGCTGGACCTATTTGAAAAAAAATCTCCAAAAATCTATTTTTTTTTTTTTTAATAAAATTACTTTTCAGAAATATTTGATTGAAAATCCCCTCAGATGATGGAAGAGTTTGGAGATTTTTAGAGTTGTTATCAAATCTTTGTAGCGTACTTAAATCTTAACACTTTTACCAAATATTTTGGCGAAAGTCTTAAAATGTAATAAATTTTATAATTCAGGTGGAAAAACTGCGTTTTTGGTGATTCATCCGAATTACTAGCACATGAGTCGAAAACGTGAAGCGAAATAAAAAAGTAGCCAATTAGTCCTTTGATGTAATAGACTATGAGAGTTTTGAATAAATATATGCACTGTGTTCCGAGTCTCTTATATTATTTTTATTTTTTATTATGCATAATTGGACTGATATTTCTTGGCTATGAAAGTTATTATTGCCTATAACAGCAATCTTTGGTTACTTATACATATAAGGCCGTCATCTTTGAAAAAGGCCCTAAATGGCAACTTTGCAAAGCAAAAATGTTCTGAAATGTTCATACAGCACTACGTATATGTATACATAGTATATATGTATACATATGTACGTAACAATATAGCGCACGTTTGACAGTAAAGGGAACTACTTAAAAATTTTAATTTTGTGAGAAAACGCAATCAAAGTTTGATCAATGTTTGATAAATGTTTAGTTGGTATATATAATTGGGCTGGCAAGACACATATCTTGGCCATTTTTTCACAGTTTAGTTATCTGTTAGACCGAACATATTCTCCTTATCAAGCTTATTAATTGTATGATAAAATCTCCAGAAATGAAAATTTTTAATTAATTCTCTATATTATTAAACGTGCGATATTAAATGCTAAAGTGAACTTTTTTTTAACAGCAAATAAAACTCGTGATTTTTAAATATGGGCTTTGACTTTATCCCGAAAGTTTATGCGAGCGCAAATAACGGAATATTGAAAAAAAACACATTTTCCAAAAATGCCAGCTTTTGCAGTGATAACAACGATACATACATACTAGAGGGCTGCATGAATGCATTCAAAACAGCTTATGAATTATTCATATACAAAACGAATGAATGATTTTGGCTTCAAATTTTTTTTAATTTGAGTGAATAGCTGTTCTGATATTTATGTCGACATTACAATATTCAAACAAAGTTAAAATAAATTGAATTGATATAAATGACAATTTTTTGTATGAATATCCAAAAATATTTTTTCTATGCACATACAGTGACGGGCAAAACTGTAACATGGTGTAACACTTTTTACTTCAGCCATCGCTATCTTTCCAAGTTCTAAAAACTTTTATACTTTTGTTGTATATTCTTGTTGGTACATCCCTACTCCGTCTCTCATAACGATTTGAAGTCTATACAACAACAATAAAAAAACCAGCTGACAAAAATGTAAATTAAGGCAGATGTTACAGTTTTGCACTCATACATTTTTTAGAACTTTTTAACAATTTTCACGAAAAAAAGAACTACTAACACAATGTTCAGTACTCTTTTGCTTGTTTCAGTTCCTGGAAACGATTTGGCATACCTTATTTGTATCTNTTTACGGTTCGGTTTTCGTGCGATACAGCAAAATGCTGCCGCACTCGCACATGTATTTTTATCAAATTTGCTTTTTTCTTTATGATGCCTTTGCGCTCAATTTGGGAATTCTTCGCCTCGCTGTCCATTGATTTGCGTTAAAGTTTAATACCTTAAGCGCTTCTGTAATAGTGGCTGCATCGCTACTTGCTGCTAAGTTCACAAGATATCGTACCGTAATATTTTTTGACAGACTTCCTTTGTCCTTGGGAACACTTTAGGCTATATTTTTTCTCAGTCTTAACATTTTCAAGTAGCAAATTCCAAAATTTTTTGCCACTTTTCGTGCGGTCCCGCCTTTCCGCAGTAAATCTATTATTTATGTTTATGGTTCCTGATTAACTATATTATTTACTGGTGGTCACTTCTTCAATAAATTACAATACAGAAAAAAGTCATCTGACTTCCAACTAAGTAAAAGATAACTGTCAAATGCAAAACTGAAAGTGAGTGCAAAACTATAACATCTGCCTCAATTTACATTTTTGTCTGCTGGTTTTTTTATTGTTGTTGTATTGACTTCAAATCGTTATGAGAAAGGGAGCAGGGATGTACCAACAAGAGTATAACACAAAAGTATGAAAGTCTTTAGAACTTGGAAAGATAGCGATGGCTGAAATAAAAAGTGTTACACCATGTTACAGTTTTGCCCGTCACTGTACATATATATTTATTAGTATCTCTTTTGTTTTTAGTTAAAGTATACCTTTATTTCGATGCACTTGATCCATTGCAATCTTCGTTCAAATGTCAACTAAAAATCTTACTACTCAATCAAAGCACTTTTATTCTGCACTATCATTTTTTTCTCTGAATGAAAGAGTNGATTTGAAGCTAGACAAGTAATTTTTAGCAAAAAAAAAAACCGACTTCAACTCTCA